TAATATATAATATGTAAATATACATATTAATATATAATATGTAAATAGCTTCCAACTGAGTCATCAAATTATGATTAACCATCTCTCTATTATAAAGTTCATTAGTCCTGAATGTTGTTCCTTAAAAACGTTTCAAGTTTTAGATTATTGAATAGTATTATTTCTGATTGAGGTGAAAGATACTTAAGCCAATTAATCCCGCCTTACTTATTTTTGTTGTATTCATATTGCACATTTTATAAAGATTATTTAACTGACCTGTGAATAATAATAACTTTTGAATGACACTGAATAAAGCATTTGTGTATAATGTATATATTTTGTTAAACTAAAGCTCAACCACATATTTTTTGTAGGTCACTTGTTTTCCATTTAATTCCTGAGGACTAAAATAGGTAGAAGTGCTAAATACATTCACAATTTTATCTAAGATTATCAGTCACTATCTAAGCTTTTCAGGTTTTTCTTAAATAAGGCAAGATATATCCATTTACTTCGTTTATTTGTTTGTAATTAAGCACAAAGCTACACAATGGGCTATCTGTGCTTTGCCTACCACGGGTATCGAAACCTGGATTCTAGCGTTGTAAGTTCGCAGACAAACCGCTGTGCCACAGGGGGGCCATTTACTTCGCCAAAAAATTAAACCATTTTTTCGACTCGTAAATCAAACTGCCTGGTTTTCTTTTTGTTTTTCTTGTTTTCCCATATACTCTAGTTGCATTGCTCCCACACGGGTGGACTTACCTTGGTTTAGTAATGTTGTTCTTTCGTCGGCGGGTTATTTTAGATCATTTAGTAAAAATAATTCAACATCAAGTTCACGAAATTATAAAAAAAGATATTTATATTATCCTTTAACGTTTGTACCCTCAAATTTAGTAGAAAACTTGACATCAACTTTTTAGAACTTTCCAGGTGTTCTAGGCCTATCTTATTAAATGTTTTGTTTTTAAGTCATCAGTATGACCTGCAGCTCCCTACAACAAACAAACAAATTGCAATTTCAAAAATATAGTTTACAACAGTATAGTCAGATATCATAAGGTGAAATTTAGTATGGAAAGTAAAATATGAATAAACCTGTACGGTACACATGATCGAATATTCGAACAATATATATACAGTTTATTTCAGAAAAAGAAAGCCAAAAATCGTTATATTTGAAATTGTTGATTTCATAAGTTGACACCCTTTATAATCTAATTAAGATTTCACATTAAACTGAAACAAATATCAACGAACTGATCCATAAATTTAGTTTTCTTGTCCTTTCTAAATACGCCTCACTTCTTCCACAATATTCATTTTACTTGTTCTTCAGTTTTACCATTAGTTTTTGCGTGACTTGAAATGGAATTGCGTGCTGAACAAAGATATCTGGTGTATGAAGGAATGTTCTTTTCGAATATTTATTTTATTGGTCCATCTTGTGACGTATCCTGAGCAATGTTGATTCGACGAACTTGTATTACAAATTCGTCACGTCTGGGTGCTCTCCAAAGCAATTTCCGACAATTAATAACTTGAGCAAGTGTTACACTGACTTTATGTCCGCGATTCATCAGCAAAAGGTAGCGTTTCAACAAAATTTGAGTCGTCACCCTACACAGGTACTTGGCTTTATGGGTAGAGTTTTGAAAAAGTGAGTAAACGGAAGTTAGCAAAAACGATATGGACATTATGTAAAACAGTTTTGGTGAACCAGAGTTATTTTCGTTCTGTACAAAAAAATTACTTATTATATAGATCTAGTTAATAACATGACATCCGCTTTTGATTTTATCTAGAAATTAGCAAGAAATTAATTATAAAAAACATAATCACGCTACTAAATGTTACGAAACGTCGAGGTTGCTGTCATATATATAGGTTCGCAGTTAATGCGTGAAGCACACAGTTCCCGTCCTTTGTTTACATTATTAAGGTAGCAAAGTTAAAGGCTTATCTTTGATTCTGTTGTTGAGCTATACTGAATACTAACCAAGTTTTGCTTCGGATTAGTTGCGTTTAAAAAAAAATAATGAAGTATGCGGTTATCTACGTATGGAGCTTTTCCAGTATTTTATTTTCTAATTTTGTCGTATTCAGTTCTCCTCCCCAAAATTTTATGACAAGTTACTTTTATCATTTACATACCATCAACGAAACGTTGTCTAGAACATTCTCATTGTCTCTAACTTCTCCTACTATGGGCTGCATGCGCCAGTGTCTTAGAATGGGGGATAACTGCATCGGGTGGAGATGCAGAGAAACACCATCTGGTTGTGACATTCTTACAGATCTTCCAGGTGTACAAGAAACGGAGAACCTCGAGTGCATGTTCCTCAAACCTGTAAGATATATAGTTGGATATCTATGGTGAAATTAGATAAAAAAAGAAGTAAAATAGCTGACACGATATACAGTTAATTCAATATTTTGTAGGAAAGTTATAATATCAGGCAACTTATTAAAAAATGGTTAACAAATAATGTAAAAGAAAATTTCAGAAAATATTCTAACAGCTCTGTGTATTTGTATTTACGGCAAAGCTAGGCTATCCGCTGTCATCTCCATATTTTGAACTGCTGACCGGAGGGAAAGCACACAGTATATTTGTCTTCATGTTGAAATACAATTTGTATATAAAATACGAACGTTAGATTAAACTATATTTATAGTACATGTTTGTAATTAAGCACAAAACAACTTACTGGGTTAACTGTGCTCTGCCCACCACGGGTATGGAAACCCGGATTCTAGCGTTGTAAGTCAGCAGATATACCGCTGTATCACTGGGGGACTAGTACACGTTACATAATAGTTGTTTGAGGGATTTGTCACATAATTTTTCTTTCATAGTAAAAAAATTTTTATGTCAAAGTTATTATAAATGTAAAAAAAAATTTTTAAAAACAACTACCAAGATTGAGATTCCTAAATTGCAGTTAATTTTATTACATGATTTATTACAAGTCAAAATGGCAAGAAAAATCCAAAACATACTCATATTAAAAGCAGCCGAATAAACAAGAACCTCTTGAAAAAGAAAAAAAAAAACAACGTGGAAAGCCTTTAATTTCGTGTTCTTTAAAAAATAAAGAAAATATATATATCATATTTTTAATCGTTACACCAGCAGACTGTAGACCTTATAGTGAATTTTGTTTGCTTCGACTGGGCATATTGTGCAGTTAACGCGCCTAGACAGTGAAGCTGGGGGTTTGTGGCTCTCGTCCCATTTCCCGCAAAACCACGTTTTGCACTTTGATGCCGTGAGTACGCTATAAGAGTGACTGCCAAATCCCAATATTCGATTAAGTATGAATCACCCAAAAGTTGGCAGTGAGTGCTATTACCGTCTTCTAGACGATTAGTTTCAATTTCGGGACAGTTACGCCTGAAAATTATAAAACACAAATACAGCTTTGCCTATCCTACTGGTACTTATTTTGTTCTCACAATTACTCGAGCAATTGAAAGCTGTTTTTAAGCTGGTGTTTTTTCTAACTATCTTTATTTGTTTTAAATCTAAATATGTGTGTTTTATGTAGTAATTTTCATTCACCACCTGACAGGATGTAAGTTAATAGTACGAACCAATTAACCATCGTAGAATATTTGTTGCTCTTGTGATTCTTTCATGTTAAGGAAACATCCTGACATTAACTTAATTGTTCTACACATTTATTACATTAATGTTAAGTATTGTTATAAGATATATTTTTAATATTGTCATTTGTTTGTTTGCTAGAAGGTTTAAATGAGAGAAACCTGAAAACATGGAGGTTGCTACAAGATTTCATGTCAAGTTTTCTAGTATGTTTTAAGTCAAATTATAAATAAAAGTGAGCCAATAAATAAGCTATGTAAGTAAACTTGTAGGCTGAACTAATCAGTGTGTTTTCGCGAAGTTGTACAAGTAAGCTAAATTTTACATTAACCCTAGTATTATTAGAGAACTTAGGCCTACAACAAGTTACAATTGTGTATAAATATTTGAACGTATTTGTAACTTTGGCCTACAACAAGTTACGATTGTGTATAAATGTTTGAACGTTATTTGTAACTTAGGCCTACAACAAGTTACGATTGTGTATAAATGTTTGAACGTTATTTGTAACTTAGGCCTACAACAAGTTACGATTGAGTATAAATGTTTGCACGTATTTGTAACTTAGGCCTACAGCAAGTTAAAACTGTGTATAAATGTTTAAACTTGTAGAAATGTTAACCGAGGAAATAAAATATCTTGTTTTTGTCACGTGGATTGAACATTGAGCAGTTTTCACCAGATAATTAAAAACAAAAACCGCCAACGAAAGAATAACAATTAAAAATTGTATTTTTTGTTTTATTCACGGAAAGGAAGTTCTTAACCAGTCAGTCATGGCCATAAGTTTTGCATGTATTATTAGTAGGAGCATCACCTATGGAATTTATCTACGTTCTTCTTGACATACCTGATGTCTACTAGGACGGACCAGATATATTTTGTGCAACAACATACCTAGCTTGTCTGTGAAGAAGGTATAACATGCTAGACCAGCATACAGGTGATTTACTTTATGAAAACAAGTCGATTTTACTCTCTTTAACCGAACTTCAGTTTCGGAATAATCTTGAAAGCAGATACAACTTTTGTTAGGGACGCATCGACACTACCTTTCACTACTTTTAAACTGTTTGATACATTTTGAAAATATGCATGCTCTAAAAATGATAAATTACAAGCTTCAAACAAAAACTCTTATTAAAGTTACTCGAAAATATTAAAACCTAAGCTATTCAGTAGAGTAAATTTCTGACCCAATTTTGTTAACTTACATTTTCGATTCCGAAATTGAAATATGTTATTTTCAACTTCGGAACGACACCTAACGCGGCACATGTTCTGAACGTTCAGGTCAGAGGCTTCTAAGATTCAGGCATAAAGAGAGGACAACTAGTCAGTGCATAGTTAATTGCAGATATAAGATTGATTAAGTTAGGTTAGGTTAAGTCGCACAAAAATATTGTAACTATAGATGTCTTTGTGTAACTGTGGGGTTGGTTAAGTTAGGTTATGTCAAGTTGCATAATAATAATATTGTAACTGCAGACGTCTTTGTGTAACTCTTTAATGTGAAGGGCTAGGTTAGGTTATGTGAAGTTGCACAATAATATTTCAACTACAGAATTTTTTGTGTAATTCATTAATAGGATTGGTTAAGTTAGCTTTGGTCAAGTTTCACAATAATGTTGTAACTACAGATTTCTTTGTGTAACTCATTAATAGGATTGGTTAAGTTAGGTCTTGTCAAGTTGCACAATAATATTGTACTAAAAATGTTTTGGGTAACTTTTTACTAACAGAGGCATCGGAAACGGGGTTCTGTAGCATCCCACTTTTATATATTTCATTTATATAGCAACTGTAAATTGTAATATTATATTAATTTCCTGGGGCATACCCCAGACCTTCCTAGATTGAGCTGCCTTTGGCGGCACGGGAGCTGCTTTTAGCAGCTCTTTATACTTTCAATCTCTTATTATAAAATTTACATGTCTAGCCAAGCACCCCCACTTTGCAACTTCACCAAGATTAGTTAGGTTAAGTTGCAAAATTCTATCGTAACTACAGATGTTTTTAGGTAACTGTTTAGTAAGATTAAATAAGGTTAAGTTAGGAACTTAAGAAAATCGCGCAATAATATCGTGATTGCAGTTGTTTATATGTAACTGCGTATTGAAATTGGATGGGCAAAGACGGAATTAAACAAAATAAAATGTTTTGAAATTAGTATTCGAGCTAAAAATAATAATGTTAGTAATGTCATTTACATACTTGGCTACATATCATATTATGGCAGAACTGCATGTAGATAAGCGAATCTGCTCAAGACGTGCAATATGTACTGATGGCGTTATAAAAAATTCCTTATTAAATACGCAAATGAAACGACCACATCGCACTAAATCGAATCGTTTTTTGAGTATATTGTTAGTGTACTTTCATGCCAATGGCGTACCTTTTACTGTTGTTTTTTAAAACTCATAGCAGTCAGTGGTAAGTTAAGAATTGTTAAGAATTATTTTACGGCTGTTTATAAATTATAATTTATTTTTAGATCAAATGCAGAAATGATAGCTGTTTGCATGGAGGTGAATGTTATAACATGCCCATTCCGAGCGTCTTGTCTGCAATGGCTTATGTGTGTAGATGTCGCTGTGGTTCCTGTGGCCCTCACTGCGAGCAACGTATGTGTTTTAGACTTTATATATATATATATATTTCGCTTTCTTATGGCTATTATATGTGCATTTGATTCTCATTTGTACAAACGAATTGGGGTAATATCATAAAAAAAGCATCACAAAAGATTAAACTAGAGTGTCTCTTATTAATAGAATAAAATAGATAAAGGTGGTTTTCTACGAATGGAAGTGACTTACAATGTGAGATTAATAGAAAGACTATGCACAGCCATGATTCAAGCTGATTGCTATTGTGTATAAGTGAACTATTAACAGACGGAGATTACTAAATAACCCTGTAGATGTATTAATAAATAATAGCTACTCATAGGTACTCGAACGGTTTTAGCTGTTCATGTTCATTGGTACAAGTTTTAAGCTTATGCGACGAAGACATCTGTACTGTATAATATGATATATTTGGACATATACATATATATATATATGATAGAGAGAGAGAGAGAGAGAGAAGAGTTGCACGTCTGTCTGTTTGGTATCACAAGTTGTGAACTGGCCAAACTAATTTCGATGAAGTTTAGTAAAGGAAATTCAGCCCCCCCCCCCAATAACAGATTGTTGAAACGGTTAAGCAGTCAAATAAACGGTTTGAGTATAATATCCATTTTTATTTTAACATCTTAATACCGTGAATGAGAGAAGGGAACAGTTTGAAATGAAAATAAATTAAATCATTTATGGACAGAAATTGTGAAAAATTTTCAAACTATAATTTGGAACTTCAATTAAGATTATTTACTGTCGGGCTTCAAAAAACAAAAAACAATGCTATATATGGGGGCGTGCCGCCACCTTTTTTTATCACACAAACTGTTCGTCTGATGCAAAATTCACTTGTATTATGGCCAGCACAAAAACGCCACTTGCGTTTGCTGTCGGCTTCATATATTTTGCTACTTACCCCTTTGGCCAGTTGATTTGAAAACGTTTTTGTAATGAATAATTTATAAATAAGTTTCTGATATTAAGTAATGGATTTATTCTAACTAACTGAGATATGTTTGACTATCAAAGCCAATCAATAACTGTGAAAACACAGTCTTTTCGGTTTTGATATCTATATCTGATTTTTTAATATTTATCTCAATCAAATCGTGTATTTTCAGTCTAGTATGAAAAGTACGAATAAAAATAATAATTATTTTTTTCATAAAAACAGTGAACTTTGGTCGACATGTAGGGAGAGGAATTGTCAAAAACAACATAGGGGGCACGACTTCTGCAACGCCAGAGGCTTGCCAAGAGGAATGTTTGAAAACGCCGGCATGTCGCTCTGTGGATTACACCAGCGAAGAAAGTCAGTGTTTCTTCAATGGAGTCATACACACTGACAGCGGCGCACAACTTGGTGAATTTAAGCAGGTTGATTATTACTATCCAATCTGTAAATGTTAGGTAGCTTATTTGAAACACGTGTAGGCCCCACATACTAACTATGAATTTCATATATGTTTTATTATGCTTTCTCGAGTATCCTGTACCGATAAGAGAATGAAACTGACCACTCTTGATTGGTCAGAAATATGTCCAAACTCTAACTGCCCAAAGTAATCAAGGGCCCGGAAAGTCAAAATAAAGCTACCATTCTCCAAGAAAAGTTGTTTTTTCCCCACAAACTTCTACAGTTAGTTTTCCTGATATTTTCACACTTAACGCATTATTAATTTAGTCTAGCTCTGATTTTAAGATACACAAAGACAGATAGTATGAGGTAAAAAGCCAACAACAACTCGTAACTAAACTAGAAGCTTATGTGTACAAGAAACTTCGACAATTGGGTCGTATAACTAAAGTTCTCTTCTACACGTGAGATCTCAAGTAACAGAAGTTAATCATTTCAGTGCTTTACCGTTACTAATTTAATTTTTCACAGCATAGATTTTATTTAGCACAGTGTTTTGTGGTATTGAAAATCATTTGAAAAACTTTATTATAAAATATTCTGTTTTATAACTGTGTGTTATTTCAAACGTGGAAAACAATATTTGGATGACTGGTATTAATGTTTTTTTATAATTTATTATGTTGTTAAACATTATAGATTTCAGAAAGAATTACAATATGTATTTGTTAAAGTAATCACGATAGTTTATTTAACTGATTTTACGTATCGTGGTGTAATATGACAATGACTTTCAAGCTAAAATGATTAAATAAAAAATTAGCAGAAAATTTCTGTGTTTTAAATTCATTATTTTGAATTTTCTTGCTGATTTATTTTGGAAATTGGGTTGTAATGAAAGTTAATTAAAAGCCGAACTCACTAATATGCATGACTTAAACAGTATAAATAATGTGTGTAATTTGGATCATCTAAGTAAATAATAAACAGATTCAGGCAAAGGCTTTATCGTAAATTTTTGAGCAACAAAAATTAGTTATGATTAATATTCTTTGAAGGAGAATGTGAACTTCTAAAATACATCTTTCGATCTGACAATCAAAAAAATGTTTGGTGTCGAAAGAGATCGCACATTTCACAATAAAATAAAATGAAAGAAAAAACATCAATATATCTTTTTTATGTCAATATAATGCTAAACAACAATTGTATCTGAACAAATGAACAATCTTACAGAGAAAAGTGCAGATATATTCTGAAGTAATGACATTCTAGAGCAGGATTTCCCCAAGTGGCCTTGAAGCTTTTAATGGGGGGCCTCCAAAAATGGGCCGAAATAAAAAGATGCTGAAATATTTTAATTCTAAATAAACAATAACCCGATGAAAATTGTGTTGAATTAATTAAATGATACAGTATGTCGAATAAAGATGTTATTGCTTTTACTACGGCACTGTTTTTCAATCACCATGATAAAGTTATAGGTTGGGGAGGGGAGCCTCAAACTTTTTTATTTACATCAAGGGAGCCTCAGACTAAAAGAGTTTGGGAACCACTGTTCTAGAGTACTACCGCAAGAATGCACAGTAGTGTAGTAGAACTGTATACTCACTGAGACTTAAACTTGTTTTACTGAAGTTGGGTCGTTTGGACAAAGTTGTTTACAAGAAAACAAGTGTTTGGTTAATATATACCAATTAATACATTGTTAGTGGTATATCGTCTGCATTAATATTCTGCTATTTGAAACATTCATAACTGCATATAAATATGTTATACAAAGCATAAGACAAACTTGCAAATTAAGGAGGTGCACAGATAGAACTATTATAATTAGTAACTACTCTGTAACATACTTCATTAATGCATTGAAAAGCATAAAGGCATAGCATAAAAATACTCAATTTGGTTTCCAGGAAATATAGAAATATGTTATGATTAAAAAAATTATTACTATTTATATATGTCTGCGTGCGTTTGTACAAAAATCTTTAAAAGCAACCTGTGCCCAAAGTAAGATTTATCGACTATTACATGATCTAAAATTGGGGTCACTTCTGTAACTCGAACCATTCTCTCCTTGGTGGTTCATTTGTAATCTTGTGGATAAATCAGTGTTAGATACCCGCAGTTGGCACAGTCCAGACAGCTCATTGTGTAGCTTTACACTTAACAAGTAAACGACCATCTTAATTCTTTTCTTCGTCAGAAAAGGACGTTTCATATTTGCATCATCGTCGCTTGAATGACATAATATAGTAACTTTAAGAGAAGAAGAAATTATAATAAATGTTTATTAATAAATCTACTATTGATATTATTACCCAATTATCAACTGATTTTCTTACACCTAATCTTTTCTTTTAGAGAATGATTTTAAAAATCGCATTATGTTCAGTATTTCAAGATGAAGAATATTTTCATGTTTATTTTTGTGGTTAAGCGCAAAGGCACACAACGGGCTAACTGTGCTCTGCCTACCACGGGTATCGAAACCCGAATTTTAGCTTTGTAAGCCCTCAAAGTTTCTTTTTAAAAAGGAAATTTGCTCAAACGTTATGATTTCAAAGTTTGATTTATTTCTTTAATCTCCAACCCTGTGATTTATGTTGTATAATAAAAATAATTAGTATAGTGATATAGGAAACGGCTGTCTATAAAATAACTTCATCTTAGAAATATTATTTATATTATTTGTGGATTTTCTTTAATATTGCTAAAAATATTTAATAATTTCAACTGTCCATTGGGTTATACGATATTTTTCAAAATTTTGCGCCAGTTCGAAGCTTTAATAATAAAGTCTGTGGTATGTCAAGTCTCACTAATAACTATTTCTTGATGTATTTGTATTTATAATTTTCGCATAAATCTGCCCAAAAGTTATCTACGCACAGCCTTCCCTAAGTTTGAGCTGATAGAAGGAAGACATCTAGTCAACAGAACCTACTGCCAACTCTTGAGATGCTCTTGTCAGATCAAATAGTGGGATTTGACGATCACTCTTATAGTACATTCAAGGCCCCAAAATACAGAGAGCGTTTTTTTTTTTGTTTTTGTGTGTGTGTGTGAAAACAGAACGTTAATCATTAATCCTCAGATTCACAGTCCCGACATACTGCTCCCCACCCCTCGGTAGCTCCACGGTAAATCTAAGGGCTCATAGCGCTAACAATAAGTACAGAAAGCTCAATGTGTAGCTTTGCCTTAACAAACAAAAAAATCAAATCGGGCATGCTAAAATCTAGGCCACGTCGCCCCACTAATTACTGAAAGTTATTCAAAATCACGTATTATTAGTGAAAAAAGGAGACGCGAAGCGAAAGGTAAAGTAAGCATAAGGGTGGATATTTAGGATGTTTACCATGTTAGCGTGTCAGAAAATGGTCCAACACGCAAAGCTCAAGGATACTTGTAGTCTGATGAAAGAAATAACTGCATGCAAATTGGAGTGTTAGGCTCAATGGTGCTACAATTTAATTAGCGTAGAGTTGTAACATCAACGTTATGACTGATTCATTGAGACGTTCTAGTAAAACTGTGTTCATCATTGAGTAACATTAATTTAAAGCCTGTGTGTCCTTTACAGCCAGTTAAATAGTGTCTTAAGCAGATCTAAATTTTCCATGTTATCATCAGCTATTGAACGCATGGTTACAACGGAACAAAATACATTTTGAAAAAAGAAAGTTTTAAATAATTACTTTTATACGACTGCTGAGCTTTTGGAAGAAGCTATACGTATTTTCGATAACAGGCAACAACATGTAGTGGAAAAAAATCTCATAAAGAAGTAGAAACTGTGGAATTCAGTTGTCGTCGTTTCCTCTCTGTATTGAAAATAGAGGTACTAGAAGCTATAGTTTCGGTTTATACCAGATTTCATCGAACCATTATAAAATCTACGTGTTTTACTTTTCATCACAGCACTAAAGAACCGTACACCATCAGCACTAAATTCAACAAACATCGAGCATATATATGTTTCTGGGCTTCTTTGTAATAGTTGTTTGTTTTTATTTAGTTGACTTATAAAAAAACACAAAAAAAGAAACACACTCGTATACATATATATTTTTCAAAAGGATGATTAGATACTTGAACCTTTTTACTTTCAAGACTTATTTC